TGTTTGCACATTAATTTGTGTCCTTTTAGGAATGCAACAAGTTGCTGGGCCAGGTCATTTTAAAGACAATTCCTGGGTCAAAACGACGTAGTTTTGCCCAGAATGTTTAAAAGAAAACAACATTGCTTCTTCTTCCTCGCAGCTCCCTTCTTCCTCAGGAAAAACGTCGAGCACCTGGTGTGCAACTCCAAGGGGTCTCTCCCCCATCTCCAAGGGGCCTCTAAGCCTATTTATTCCATGGCTTTCAAGAGGCCGTGCGACCCCACTAACCCCACTGTGGCTCCGCCACTGATTATGTGCATGTGTGTATGTGTGTGAGACCCCTCCCCATGTAGTTTAGACTATATCACTTATACTTAAAACAAGACTTAATCATGTAAAAATAAATAAGAAATAATTAAGCAACTTAATTTTCACGAGACACAGAATTATAGACAATTATTGTCTTTCTTCACGGGGTATTGAACAGGTTGGTTGCAATAGAAATAGGCATGCATGCACAAGGGGTTTGGGAGAGAATTTTTAATGTTTTTTAAAGTGCCATTAAAACCTTCATCAACATAAAAGATGAGCTTGAAACGGTCTTTTTAACCTAGATTCGACTAAATTTGGGGAAACTAGTCCCTGAATCCAATCAGCCAGTTTTTGTTGTGTTTTGGCTAACCATAAATGCGTGAATAGTGTCGCACGCAGTTTTGGCGTTTTGGTGTGTCTTAATGTGGTTTCTTATTATTTTGGGATTTTCTAACCTAATTTAATAGGGTTTTAGTTTCCTATTCCTAGTAAACTTGTAACCCAAGTCCTATGAGATATACATAGGACTTTTGGGATTAAGTTTAACTACTCGAGCCAAAGAGAGGCCGGAGAATTTAGAAGAGAGAGACAAAAGAAAATTGAAGAGGGAATTCTAGGGTGTTTACAAGGTCATCAAAAGGTTTGAGTAAGGGTGAGAGCAAAGAGAGCTAGGGTTCTTGTGAGAGCTAAGGGGGTTCAAGATTGTAACCAAAGTTGTTCTTACATACTAGTGAATTTTTTGGGTGGATCACCAAGAGGACGGAGGCACGAGGCCGAACCTCTATAAATCTTTGTGTTCTTGTGTGTTTGCTTACTATCTTTGTGGTGTGTGTGCTTTATTCTTGAAGGGGTGTGTCGTCGCATAGTCCATCAACGACAAGGTCTTGAAGTGTTTTCGTACTACAATTTTCACTACCAAAAAAAGAAGCATTTGGGGCGTCCTTTTAGCAGCAGAAAATATGATACGCCCCTATTGATTGTTAATTAAGGGTAGAAAACCGATTGGCCCCTATTAATGATATTTGGGGCAGATAAACATGCCCCTATTAAATAGGCGAGTAAGGAGGGAAATTCTACGCCAAATTTATATCATATTTATTAATTTTTCTTTCCGCCCCTATTATTAATAATTTTTTATTTTCTTATTTTACATAAGCTTTTAATCCCTCTCAAAACCTAAGAGCATCTCCAAGGGATATGTCAAATACCAAACATCAAATTTAAATTTGATGGTTGATGTGGCAATTTGACAACCAGCTGTCTTTAAAAAAATAATAAAATATTCATTTGACATCTTGCTTTTGGGATGTCAAAAATAACAGCTGAACCTTCAGCCTTCATTCCACATCAGTTTTGACAATTCGGTTGGAGTGAGGTGATATGTTATTTCTAGCTGTTAAATGTCTATGTGGCACTTTTGACATATCGGTTGGAGATGCTCTAAGAATTATATCTCCTCCTCTCTTATAGCATCAACCGTCTCTACTTTTCATCAAAATATATATTTGATGTTCTGTGCATTTTATATTATACAATTAATTAATTTTTATTTATTTGAAGAATCATTTATATGTCGAATATAACAAATTAAAAACTATTTTTAAATAGATATGCTCTTATGAATTAATGAGTTTGAAATGTATTAGGGGCATATGTACATGTCTCTACAACTAATTATTATTTATTACGAAATTAGAGGTAGTGGCGCAAATAAGCGCCTCTACTGTTTAAAAATTTATTAGAGGCACATAAATATTTGCTCCTAATATGTTTTCTACGATACATTGCCAACGTGGCAGCTGAAACTGTAGGGGCGTTTTTAATAACCTTTCCGGATTTGCCTAGTATTCCGCCTCTATTTGAAGTAATAGGGGCAAATGTAATCGCCCATAACTCTTTCTTTTTTCGTAGTATTTGTCCTTGATGTCATTGGACTAGATTAAGGGAAATTATGACTGTGAAAGGGGTTATATAAAAGTTATTTTCAAGAGTAATTCTCTTCATATCGTTTTAGTGTTTTGACTGGCTCAAGTTACTAGGTAAATTTTTACACATGTATGTCATATTGTTTATGTTGATGATCAGTGGTTTATCTACAAAGACTAATAATTATAGAGGAGAGGACATTGTGGTTGTGGACAGTGGATGGGACCCAAAATTATAAATGCTCTATCACCAAACTATAAAGTTTCCAACACAAAAAACCAACACGATTGGCCTTTTCCCTTTTTCCAACGGCATTACTAAACTAATGATGACAGAGTAGAATTGTATACGATCATAAGGGCAAGCGATAGAACAACATACTGGAATATCCTCCTTGCGAAAAAAAGAAAAAATTGCAAACATCCATGTCATAAAACGACTCTCTCACATATAACTTTATGTATCACTCACATAATATAATACATGTGAGAAAATTGTTTCATAAACAGGTGTGTGCAAGTTTTTCTTATCTCTTTGAGATGCCATATATGGACCGCAGGTGCAAGTCTAATGGTGAGAAGTTTCTTGGCTCTTTATTGAGACTTGCTATTGCTTCCCATCGATACTGCCTGCTTAGTGCTCCTTAATTTAGTCAGGTCAATTAATTAACAACTGGCCTATCTCTTAATTATGTGGTGGAAATAGTAGGTAGATAGAGCTGTACGTTCATAGCCAGCCCAAGTATACTCCAACTCTAAAACTAAGCTCACCAAACTAATAAATGGGGTGAGTGGATCCTAAAGCTGGCTGACTAACTTCATCAACTTGTACAAGTCGAAGTAAACCACACCATGTCAAAACTTGGTCAATTTTCACCTTTTTTCTTTTTCTAAATCAATTGTGACATTTAAAGAAGATTTGAACTTAGAAAATCTAACTTGTCTTTGGTGGGGTTTTTTTTAAAAAAAATTTAATTTTAAATTTTTTTGTTTATACACATGCGATATTGTATTGAATGAGGGGAAATCGAATCTAGGACCTCTATGTAAGTGTAATGCTTTTAACTACTTAAGCTCCAAACCCCTTGCACCTCCTCTTTGGTGGTTAATGAATAGCTATGTTAGCAATCTTTAACTATATTTTCCGTTTATTAATAAAAATGAATTCTAATTTAGAATATGTTCCAATATTGTATTTAATGGTGTTTCTTGTTACACAATTTTTTCTTAATCACATCTTTTCTCATAACTGACTTAATTTGTAAAATAAAATTACATGTGCGACATTACCCACTACTCGTGGAAAAAGTCTCTCATCACTTATTCTGATCAATTGTGACATTTAAAGAAGATTTGAACTTAGAAAATCTAACTTGTCTTTGGTGGGGTTTTTTTAAAAAAAAAATTTAATTTTAAATTTTTTTTTTTATACACATGCGATATTGTATTGAATGAGCGGAAATCGAATCTAGGACCTCTATGTAAGGGTAATGCTTTTAACTACTTAAGCTTCAAACCCCTTGCACCTCCTCTTTGGTGGTTAATGAATAGCCATGTTAGCAATCTTTAACTATATTTTCCGTTTATTAATAAAAATGAATTCTAATTTAGAATATGTTTCAATATTGTATTTAATGGTGTTTCTTGTTACACAATTTTTGCTTAATCACATCTTTTCTCATAACTGACTTAATTTGTAAAATAAAATTACATGTGCGACATTACCCACTACTCGTGGAAAAAGTCTCTCATCACTTATTCTGATCTTGTGAAAAAAAGAAGAAGAAGAAATATTGGTCCTATTTCCATGCGTGGAACAATGAGCTAAGAAAGTGACGTCCTTTTCATATTTATAATATGTCATATATGTCGCCATGCCCCGCTCTATATAAGCTTAAGAAACCTTAACAACAAATGCATAAAAAAAACAAATTGCATTATGAGCATCCTCAAGAACCTCCCAGCCTTCTGCATCCTATGTGCCACTCTCTTCTTTGCATCAACCAACGCAGCTCAATTCGATATCCGAAACAACTGCCCCTTCACAGTCTGGGCAGCAGCCACGCCAGGCGGCGGACGCCAACTTAATAGAGGCCAAAGTTGGGTCCTAGATGTGTGTGCCGGAACCCAAAGGGCTCGCATTTGGGCCCGAACCGGATGCAGCTTTAATGGAGCCGGACGTGGGAGATGTCAAACAGGTGATTGTGGGGGTGTCCTCCAATGCCAAGCCTATGGCCAACCCCCAAACACCCTAGCTGAGTATGCCCTTAACCAGTACAACAACTTGGATTTCTTTGACATTTCCCTTGTTGATGGCTTCAACGTCCCTATGGACTTTAGCCCCACGTCTAATGGGTGTACCAGGGGCATCAGATGTACCGCTGATATTAATGGCCAGTGTCCTAACCAACTGAGGGCTCAAGGAGGCTGCAACAACCCTTGCACTGTGTTCAGGACTGATCAATATTGCTGCAATTCCGGGAGCTGTGGCCCTACAGACTTGTCTAGGTTTTTTAAGAATCGGTGCCCGGATGCTTATAGCTACCCTAAGGATGACCAAACAAGCACATTTACATGCCCTGGCGGGACAAACTATAGGGTTGTGTTCTGCCCATGAAGCAGATATATCTTATAGTTTATAATATCTATAGAATAAGTCTGTGATGAAATAAAATTATGGTCTGAGGGCTTTGTCATTAGCACATGTAATGGTGTGCATTATGTAAAACAAAGTACTTGTACTGTCACACTTGAGTTCAGTCATCATAATTAACATAAAAGATGAATGTATCCTGCTTTGGATTCAGAATACTAGTCGATTTTGCTTCATTGGTTATAGCTCTTTCTATCACCAAAAGGTATATCTTCAGTGGCCATTCCTAGAAAATGGATTCATGGTCTCTCTCTTCTCTAGGGAAATTTCTCTTATTTTCTTTAGTTTATTTTTCAGATTATTTTAGTGTGTTTGGTTCTATCTTTTTTGAAACCCAAATTCTCCCCTTCACTGTTTGGGCAGCAACGTTTTGCAAATCTTTGAGTATAATATTCCACTAATTGTAATAGTAGTATTTATTTTTAATTTGGTTGAAGGCGAAAGCCTGATTTTGAGAAGTTCTTTTATGCTCTTTGAGACTTCTGTAGCTAACCTTAGTCAAGTCAATACGTTACAAAGTTGTATTCTTTTACTTTGAAGCATTAACCCAAAAGCAAATCTAAACACAAACATGTATACGACTCTTAGTTCTGTTAATGATGAAACTATTCGATTGGAGGGTAGGTCCCACAATGTAGTCCTCGATTCTTTATAGTAGAGGAAAGGCTAATAGACTCATCATATCGATTTCATCTCGATACCACTTCAATAGTGTCCCATTATATCGATAGCAAATAGTCCTACATAGGTTATGGTGTCAATATTGTCCCTATAATCACATATTCCCTAATAAATTCCAAAAAGGAGAACTATTTTCTCTTATAACAGATTTCTTATCCAGACGTTCAGAATTCAGATTGTTTAGCATGCGGACACCCCAATGTTTCTTCAGTTTTCTTCTCTTATTATATGCTGACAAATCAAGCCACACTGCTATATAAAAACATCTGGTCAGTGATGTAGAAGTTTACATCTTGAAATCTATTTTTATAATGAAAGGCAACTGCAAACATTAGGGTCTGCATGCTAAACAATCCAGACGACCGGATAAGAGAAAAACTTTATTGAGGGATTTTTTAAATAATTTTATTTGAGGGACACCTTTTACGCTTCTCTATAATTTTTTTTTAATTAATAAAACTAGTCTTCAATCATAGATCATCCTTGCAAAAAAGTAGGCAAATTGAAAATTATTAAGGCATCTAGTTGGGACCAATAAAATACACAAACACGGTACTTCAAGAAAAGACTATAACAAAAACCTAAATGTGAAGCCTGGAACTAAAATGGCTCGAATTTGGTCCCGAACCAATTGTGCCTTTGACAAATCAGGTCGTGGCCGGTGCCAAACCGGAGATTGTGGAGGACTCCTCCAATGCCAAGCCTATGGTTCACCCCCAAACACCCTAGCCGAGTATGCCCTAAACCAATTTGGCAACAAGGACTTTTTCGACATTTCACTTGTAGACGGGTTCAATGTTCCAATGGAATTTAGTCCCACGTCTAATGGGTGCACCAGGGGGATCAAATGTGCTCAAGATATCAAAACGCAGTGCCCTAATGAGTTGAAGGCTCCAGGTGGCTGCCACAACCCTTGCACTGTGTACAAAACTGACAAGTATTGTTGCAATTCTGGGAGATGTGGGCCTACAAATTTGTCCAAGTTTTTTAAGGATCGGTGTAGGGATGCTTATAGTTACCCTAAAGATGATCCAACTAGCACTTTTACTTGTCCTGGTGGGACTAATTACAAGGTTGTGTTCTGCCCTTGAATCACGTTGTTTCTCCAAGTTATGTTGTGTGGGGTTTGTAAGATGTTGTACTAATATGAATCCTTAATAAATTGTGGACACGACAAGAGTTTGACTTTCACATCTCCTGCTTTCAAATTTACAGATTTAATGGCGTGATTGGAACATTATATAAGTATTTAGTGGATTATATATATATGCAAAGTTCATGTTGTCAGAAAATAAATCAGTTCTTGAGGTTCATTTTTCTTTTATCTCTTTCAATCTCATCAAAGTTCATGTTGAATTCATCATCAGCCGTTGCATGGTCCTTCAAAATCTCACATGAGAGAAAAGAGAGCAAACGTGAACCGAGGACAACCTCCTAGAAGAAGGAAATACGCCTTGAAATTCTGGCAATTCATCCTCGGCTCATATCTACTCTCCACCTCTTCATGCAAGACTCCTAGACAAATGGAATTATTAATGATCTTCCACTCCATTTTAATTCCATTCAAACGTGTGACATAATTAGTATATTATGGACCCAAGAAGAATCAAGCAAATGGGATGCATGGATAAAATCTTCACAACATTTTGGGTTTGGTCTGGGGTTCAAATCGATCTATATCTTTTCTAGTTTAATTCCTTCTTGTAGCTTTTTCGAGAAGCAGTCATTTCGACCATATATATATGTTCCTTGGATCCAACTCTGACATTCAATTTGTGCTTTATTCTGTACAATCTTATCATTTTATATGCTCAAAACATGCATCGCAACAATTTCTATTTTATATATTTTATAAAAGCAACTTTTTTCCCACACGCAAAAGCATGCCATGCGTGACGTCTAGTTAACAATGCAATATTCTTGGTCCCTCTTAACATGCATTCCTTTGTGAAGCTAGTTTATTCTAATAGAAATGAGTCGAGAAACAAATATTTATTCTATTAGAGGCATAAATCATCGGCTGCACAGTTGTCCTAATTCACCACACAACCCAAACATGACTGTGCAACTCGCATCCCAGTCATCCATCCATCCATGTGATGTGAAGTGGTGGCCCAAAGATCTTGAGCTGGGCCTGAGTTTGTTTTCTCTTTCTTTTTTCTTTTGATTGCAAAGTTGTGGTCAAAGTGAGAATATAATTAAGCATCGCCTACTATTATATACCATCATCACCAATCTCTGTGTCTATACGAGGGCCAAAACGCATCATATCCATCCAATCTCTGCACTCCTTTTATACATGTAAAATGTTACCTTTTCTTTGTTTTATTTTCCCCTATCCAACCCAACCCACGTCCCAAACACAAGCCAAAGCCCTAGCCCAGATGGCTACTCATGCACCCCACGCACACCACACTGTGAAACAAAGCAAGGCAAATATTCAATTATGCTCATATATACTCATATTTTTATTCTTCTCCAATATGGAGGTATTTATATAAGTACAAAGATGTGTTAATCCTAAATAAAATAGGAAATATATCTAAATTACAATAGAAAATAAATCTCTATTACAATAGGACTAAATAATAATTGGTAAGTAACCAAAATCCTAACTAAGTAAGGACTCACCAACACTCCCCCTCAAGTTGGGGCAAAGATATTTCGCATGCCCAACTTGACAAGCGAGTCATAGAACACCATACTCGACATTGACCAATTGATAGAGAAGGCCTTGTCATAAACCACGAGTAAAACAACTGACAAACCCTAACAAATAGGGCACATAGAAGAAGACATAAAAGCAGAACACAGAAACCCTGTGAGCATGGCAGTAGATAAGGCAGAACACATAAACCTTGTGAGCACGGTAGTAGATAAGGAAGAACACAGAAACCCTGTGAGCACTGCAGTGGGTAAGGTAGAACACAAACACCCTGTTAGCACGACAGTAGATAAGGCAGAATATAGAAACCCTGTGAGCACTGTAGTAGATAAGGCAGAACACAGAAACTCTGTGAGCACGACAGTATGTAAGGCAGAACACAGAAACCCTATGAGCACGACAGTAGATAAGTCAGAACAAAGAAACCCTATGAACATGACAAAGGTAAGGCAAAGAACACAGAAACCTTGTAAACACAACAAAGAACACAGAAACTCTGTGAACACAGTAGTAGGTAAGGCAAAACCAAACCCTAAAAATAGGGCAAGGCAAGGTAAAGGGAAGGTAAAGACAAAGAAAAGGCAACGTAAAGGCAAGGCAAGGCAAAGGGCACAGCCAAAGCAACAGAAAGAGAAGCAAGCAAAGTCAACATCAACGGCGGCAACAACGACAATGACAGCATTTCTTCCATACCAACTTTTTACTTTATTGTGTGTTTTTTATGCATCACGTGATATAATATGGTACAATACATCAAAATTATACAGCATGTGCT